AAGATTAATAAAGGCTGGTGGGAGAAGTTTCCACCTCTTTTGTTGACAGAGATTGGTTTGCATGAAATATGTGAGGATTCTTTGGTTCAGAGAAGGAGAAAGTGTAAAGTGTGTCTATAGACTAATAATTACAACACTCACTTAGATCTAGTTTCCATGCACTGCTCCAAGCACTTATTTATTTATTTATTTATGACAAACCAAAGGTAACTCTTTCCCTCATGTCTACTTTGGTCACAGAGCAATTGAACTGCTGGTGATGCAGCAGTCCCTTCCAAATGGGCTTGATAATCTGGTGAGATAGAGAAGAATACATAATTTATAAATGCACTGAAATGAGTCACAAGAAATCTTAAATGGGGGAATCTGCATGACAAAATTTTCTTGTCAAAATCTGAGACATATTCAAAGATAGACAGATTATGAGCCTATCAAGCATGGACTTTTGCACATGCTGCATATGTGTCTCTAACCGTGTCTTAGCCTTTTAGATTGAACATACAAAGTCTGAAGGCCTGAAGTTTCACATGATTACCTTGTATTTACATCTGCTTTTCTTGCCTTTATTTCTTTTCTTGTGAACTAGACAATAATTGTAAAGTGTTTAAACATCTTATAAAACTCTGAACTCCTCCTTGATGAAAGAACATCAAGATAACATCTTGTCAAACATACGTGCCTCATTCCTAAAATGGTTAACCAAAAAAATAGGTCTCCATAACCTTTTAATCAAAGCTTCCAATGACAAAATTTTTAGTCTGATCAAGCATTCTGTTCTCCTACTTCACTATCCTCAAACTCCTCCCCCCCCCCCAATATTTAAGCTGAAAAATTAGCATGACAACAATTAGCAGATTCCTTTATCTGTGACACTATAGCATCAGCTTCTTTCTCCCCTTGATTTCAAAGAAGAGCATGGCAAAATAGGGGGACTTCAATTTGAATAACCTTAGCATTTGCTGAAATTTAGCTCTTCAGTGGTACAGCTTTACTGAAAGCATGATGTGTTTGTGCACCTTTCACTGTTAACTAAAGCAACTCAACTCTGGGACCTTGAAACAGTAAGTTTCGGAAGTATACCAAGAAATAAAGTCAGATTGTGAAAGAGTATTCTTTTTTTCTGAAGGTAAAGTTTAAGAGGAAGTGTTAGTATAACTGTCTGGAAATCCCTCAGGGTTTTCCCTTTAGGTAGTATGATAGTCTGGAAAAGAAACAAAGCCATAATTGTATGAAACCTGTAACTTCTAAAAAAAAGAGCACCTCCTACCTATCTGTCAATGAAAAAATGAAGGAAGAGTGATTTGGAGGAAAAAATAGGTTTAAAAGAAGTCAGGACACTGACTTCTTTACACACTGTAAATTTCTGAATGGACGTGGTCTGAATCTATCTGGTCTGTGGAATTCATTTTGTTTTGTTTTTCTGTGGTTCTATGTACTTCATTAGTTGACTCTCATGGTACTGTGCTTGTTATTACATTCATGCCAGATTCTGTATTTTTCTGCATGTGCCCTGGGGACAAGATCACTTTTTCTAAATCACAATTTTTATTTTTATTTTTTAATAACTACACTAATGAATTACATTCTTCTTGTTACCCAGAGAAGTCGTGGATGCCCCATCCCTGGAGATGTTTAAGACCAGGCTGGATGAGACCCTTCACAGCTGAATTAGTATATGGCATCCCTGTCCATGATAAAGTAGGTAATCTTAGCAAGCATCTCAGGAAACAAACATCCCTAGCTTTGACATACCCCTTAATGTATTTCTTTGTCCTCCACTGTGTCACTTTTTAGGCCTGACTCACGTCTAAGGATAAGTGCTTATTCCATTTTTTTGTTGTACATACTCTTTCAAACAAATAAAGAAACCCAAGGGAACACTTTTCCTTCATTTAGGGTATAACCACTTATAAATAAAAAGAAGATTTTTTTTTTTTAATATTTTCTGATTATCCATTAAAACAGACCACTTGATTAAGTTGCCATTTGTTCTGTGTGACAAAAATTTTCTCTCAAAGGGCTAATGTATTTTGACTGTCTGAAGCAGATGAAACTGTCTCCAAGACAAATGCAACAGAAGTACAGCACTGACCCATTAATGAGTCATTTCAAGGCAAATTATAGTACAATAGTTGTTTTCCAAGAATTGCCAGTATGGTGAATTATTATTATTATTATTTGTTTTTTTGGTTAAAGGTCATATATATGGTGACTGACAGAAACTACCACAATTTAACTGTGATGTTGCTGAGACAATGTGAATGTATTCCAAATTGGGCTACTTGGAAAATGTGGCTTTTATTTGTACTTTGGATCTTGTTATGAGATACTAGGAGTTGGGGATTTCTGTATGTTAAACTTGGCACCTTCCTTTCTGTGCCACTTTTAAACTGCTGTTCTAGCTCCGTGTGGATGTTATGACTATTTGGATCCCAGCAGTTCTCTTTGCTTTTCTGGATTACTTCTAACAATAATTCTTTGTTAACAAAGAGTAAATACAAATAGATTAGCCAATTTCCTTAGTTAGCCATGTTTGTATTAGTAGATTTATCTGAATTCTCATATCTCAAAAGTTCTTTTGCTTCTGACAATGAATCTATAAATTGCCAGTTGCACTGCAGAAAAACAGACACATTAAATGCTATTTCTTTAGCTCAGAAATCAATGCTAGTCTTAGCTTTAGGTCAAGGGAAAATGCAACCTTTTCCCTTTGCATTCATCAGCTCCAAACTTACATGAAGCAATACCTACCACCAGCTGTTAGGGCAGTTCTATGATTTTCATGTGGTATTATGTCTATGTGTTTTGTTTTAAACTTGTTTTAAACTTGGCTCTGTTATGATGGTCAGAAATGAAATACTGAACTTGGGGTTTTTATCCTATGGATCTTGGGATTCTGTGGTACCTAGCTCTTCTCCTTACATCTCTTTCTCTATGTGGTAAAACCAGAGCCAGCCTCAGCCAGATTGTGCCAATTTAATTTCATTGGCTATTTTGTAGGGATAAATTTGTCTTGTCAACCACTCTGATATCAGTCTAGTGTAAAACTGTCGGAAAGCATCCTTTCCTTCATTACTCCACACTCTGCTTTCTTCAGTAGCTTGTTTTTCTTTTCTCCTGTTTGTTTACTTTTTTTTTTTTTTATTTGTCTCACTTATATTGCTATACAATTAATCCCCCCCCGGAGTATCAATAATGTGATTTACTTTCTTGGTGAGGTTGCTGAGTTGCCTGTGATGCAATGATGAAAGCACACCTTTCCCCATAGTGCTATATAATTTTGTTAGGTAAATACAAGAAGAATCTTAATTCTTAGTTAGCATTACTTTGAATTGTCAATCATATTTGGAATCTGAGAAAACAACTTGGAGCTTTAGAGAGATTTACAGAAAAAAGTGGCTCTGTTAATTGTTGCTTATTTTCAAACTTCTTTTGGCAACAGCAGAAGCACTGCATCCAACATATTTGCATATGTGCATACTCCTTCTAAACAAACCCTCCTGTGAAAACAGCTAGACATTGCTCTACATGCCAGTAGAGCAACTTCGTGTTTGCCTCACAATTTTTAATGCAGGATTTGGCAAGTGCAAAGGCTTCATGTGCATTTGGCTCTCCTGAATTGGTAACTCGAGTTGATGAATCTCTGCAACAACAGGAATTCAGCATGTCACAGCACCGTGAGATGTTAGTTTGCTATAACTGTTGTGCCTAGTCAGATCCCTTTTACACGTGCGTAAATCCAGAGTAAATCAAGTGACTTGAATTTTTTTTAAACAAGTATAGTATTTCTCTCTTTATCAGTTGATCCTACACATTACAACATTACAGCAGAACATTAAAAAAGAAATAAATAGAATAAGAAGAAATAATCAGTTTTATTTTTTAAATATCAAAAGGTCATTTAAACTATTTAAAGCCATTTTTTTCAGATTCAGGGGGAACTAAATCACTGTATAAAACAGAGGAAACCTCAGCCAAAACCCTCCAAAATTCGTGAAACACTATTAAATGTAAACTGTATTCTGCATTCAATACTATTTCACATTGTCATTTTATATGAGTTTCTTGTAATGGACATTAGACCTTTTACCCAAGAGGATACTGAATTCTGTAGCTTGGGTTCCTATCTATATTTCGTAAAGTACCTTTTCTTTCTTGGAACAAGATTGGCATATTCAAATAAGAAACACCTCTTTGTTACTACTACTACTTTCAGGAAAAAAGTATATATATTCAGAAAAAGTATATATACATATGCCCTTTATTTGGGCATATATACAATGATGAAAGTATACAAGCTAGTCCAGGAGTCTTAAACTATTTCTTGGAGAAAACACAGTCTGAAAAGCTATTCAGATTACACAGCTTTTACCATTTATCTGAAAAATCACTTGCCTCAAAATTTTTGATTCAGTTTGTTAGTAAAATAGTTTCCAAAAATAGCTGCAAATATTTAGGTTTGGAATTTTTAAGAATGTTTCTTTTTATGGAAAAAAAATCTAAAGATTAGCAAAAAATACAACTATGCTGCAAGTTTACAGATAAAAGCACAAATCTTGTTTGTTTGTTTGTTTGTTTGTTTTTTGTTTCAGAGAACTTCTGAATTAAACTAGGATAGTGCAGTGTCTTCCTAGAAATGTAGTTAAGGGTCTTTACTCATTCCCATTTTTGCTTGGTGTCTTATTGACACCCAGCTTCAGAATTCCCCTAGATGCACAAATTAATTTGTCCGCTTAGCCTTGAAAGAAGCTGTTGCTTCTTCCTTAATCTTGAATTTCAGAATCAGTAAGGCATACACAAACCAGTTCAGATGGTGAAGAAGCTGAAAAAGACTAAAAAGTCTCTTCATGCCCTCAAAAGCAGGAAGTCAGCTACAAGGAACTGAATTGAAAATTATTAGAAATATGTTTAGAGCTTTACAGTTACATCCACTGCAGTTTTAATAATGAATCTTATATACCCATGTAGTAAAAATAAAATGAATAGAGCTCTGTACTTACCATAGTTTTTGCGTCTCTGTCTCATACAAGTCTGCTAAAAAGTATGTGCTGTACTGGAGAGTCAAAAATGTTCTTTGTCCTTCACTGTGCACTTCCTTTTTTGAAAGTGTATGTGGTCTATCCAGCCTTCACAGGAAAAGATATCAGCAAAATCCTTGTTTTGCATATTATCAGAGACGTAACAGAATTTTTTACAGCATTTGTTTGGGATACACTGCAGCACTGTGAAGGACAAATGACAGTGAAGGAGCATTCATTCATTTTATGAGCTCCAAGATTATAATGAAAAACAGGTATGTGCTGATGAGAAAAATATATAGTTATGTTTTCACTAATCTTTTGCAGAATTAAAGAAGCAAATATATAATATTTATTTATTTATTTATTTATTTATTTATTTATTTATTTATTTATTGTCTTTCATATTCAGGGTTCCCAAGTTTTCACGTATTTAAATTTTATAACCTACCTCATATACCTCTTCTTCTGGCTCAGGTTTGCATGGATGTTTAAAATCTGAAACCTTTTTCTTCCTATAATAAGCTGACCTGTATTTCTGTCCACTAACTTCTGACTCATTAGGTCTGCCTAGCTCACAGTATCAGAAAAATAGGGTTCTGGTCCAACAGGTTATTAAAGCCCTGCACTGCCAGACCTCCTATGCACAAAAAGTTAAGGAAGAAATGGGATAAACCTTACTGGGTTGGGTGTAACAAAGAAAGCTAAAACAGAGGTTCTTCAGCAAGATGATTGAAAAGACATGAAGGAAGGAGGGAAGGAAAAAAGGAGGGAAGGAGAGAAGAAAGGAAGGAAAGAAGGAAGGAAGGGTGTGAAGCACATGCTAAATGCAGGGGAAAGTGAGGACTCTGATATACTTTGGGTGAAGTCCAACTGCTAAATAAAAAAGCAAAAATAATAGTAATGTAACAGAAAATACTGTATCTACATCACAACCAAGATTTAAACTCTATTCTGTGATGAAACCAAGATTTCCTCATAATCTTGGTAACAGAGCACTGATTTCTGCATTGCTGCAGTCCCAAAACATTGGCTTTCAATTAAACTTTCAGTGCAATATATTTGTAGAGCTACAATAGCAAATACCACTGCAGGTACTTATAGAAGCAATTAACATCTTACTATTTACTTTCTAAAACAGAAAATTACTGTGGCAGCTACAAGCTTGTTTATCTGAGCACAGTATTGTGCACCTTTGAGAAGAGATTTGAAAAAACAAATTGAAAAAGAAAATATTACCCTTGCACTCGGAAACACTAAGTGTATTTCCATTTCTGTGGTTGTGTGGAAACTGTTTATGGTGACCGAAACCAATAAAAGACTTTTTTTTTGGTCTGCATTTGTAGCACAGGACGTGATTCACTTTCTTTGGTTACCATTTCTGTATAATTTCACTTTTCAATTCTCTTATCTTGTGGAGTTCAAGCTGGAACTTGGTGGAAGAAGTAAGACAGGATTGCCTCCCTGGACTTTTGGAGAGGCAGCTTCGACCTCTTCTGAGACCTCCTTATGAGTATCTCATGGGCTAGGTTGCTAGAAGGCAAGGGTGCTTGTGAGAGCTGGGCTACATTTACAGCACTTCTTCCAAGCTCAGTACCGGTGCATCCCTAAGAGTAGGAAATCGGGGGGGAGGAGGGTTGGGGGGCAGTAAACCTGCGTGGATGAGCAAGGAGCTCATTGATAAAATACAAAGGAAGACGAAGGTCTATGAAATGTGGAAAAAGGGCCTGTCCTCTTGGGAGGAGTACAGAAGTGTTGTCAGGGCCTGCAGGGACACAACGAGGAAGGCTAAAGCCCACGTAGAGATGAGGCTTGCAAAAGAGAAAAAGATAATAATATATATATATATTTTTTTTTAATATATAAACAGTAAAAGGAAGACTAGGGAAAATGTGGGTCCCTTGCTGAATGAGGGGGGTGTCCTGGAAACAGGAGATGCCAAGAAGGTAGAGATACTGAATGCTTTCTTTGCTTCATTCTTTGCTTCAAGGACTCCCCCCCCCGACTCCTCGACCCTGGTGGGAGGACAATGGGTCTGGGAAACAGAGGGCTCCCTCTGGTTGATGAGAGTGTGGTTCAGGAGCATCTGAGTGGGCTTAATGCACACAAATCACGTGTCTTGATTTGATGTATCCACGAGTGCTAAGGGAGCTGGCAGAGGTGATTACCAAAACCTTCTCTATCATCTTTGAAAGGTCCCAAAGAACAAGAGAGGTGCCTGAAGACTGGGGGATAGCCAATGTCACTCCAATCTTCAAGAAGGGCAAGAAGGAGGATCCGGGAAACTACAGGCCAGTCAGTCTCACTTCTGTCCCTGGAAAGGTGTTGGAACAGCTTGTTCTGGATGCCATCTCTAGGCAATTGGAAGAGAAGAAGGTTATGAGGAGTAGTCAGCATGGATTCACCAAGGGGAAGTTGTGCTCAACCAAGCTTGTTGCCTACTATGATGACATCACCATCTGGGTAGATGAGGGGAGAACAGTGGATATCATCTACCTTGACTTTAGCAAGGCTTTCAATACTGTCTCCCATGACATCCTGATAGCAAAGCTGAGAAAGTGTGGATAGGGGAGTGGACAGTAAGGTAGATTGAGAACTGGCTGACTGGCCGAGCTCAGAGGGTGGTGATTGGAGGAGCAGAGTCTGGCTGGAGGCCTGTGACTAGCGGTGTTCCCCAGGGGTCAGTGCTGGGTCTGGTCTTGTTCAACATCTTCATCAACAATGTTGATGAGGGAACAGTGTCCGCCCTCAGCAAGTATGCTGATGACACAAAGCTGGGAGGAGTGGCTGACAAACCAGAAGGCTGTGCTGCCATTCAGTGAGACCTGGACAGGCTGGAGAGATGGGCAGGAAGAAACCAAATGAGGTTTAACAAGAGCAAGTGTAGAGTCCTGCACCTGGGAAGGAACAACCGTGTGCATCAGTACCGGCTGGGGGATAACGTGCTGGAGAGGAGCTCTGAGGAGAAGGACCTGGGGATCCTGGTGGACGACAGGTTGACCATGAGCCAGCAGTGTGCCCTGTTGGCCAAGAGGGCCAATGGGATCCTGGCGTGCATTAAAAGGAGCATGGCCAGCAAGTCAAGGGAGGTGATGCTGCCCCTCTACTCTGCCCTGGTCAGGCCTCACCTGGAGTAATGTGTCCAGTTCTGGGCTCCCTGCTACGAAAAAGACAGGGATCTCCTGAAAAGAGTCCAGCAGAGGGCCACAAAGTTGATACGGGGCCTGGAGCATCTTTCCTCTGAGGAAAGGCTGAGCGACCTGGCTCTGTTCAGCCCTCAGAAGAGAAGACCGAGAGGGGATCTCATCAATGTGTATAAATACCTGAGGTGTGGGAGACAGAGGGACTTGGCCAACCTCTTTTCAGTGGTTTGCAGGGACAGGACAAAGGGTAATGGCCACAAGATATAGCACAGGAAATTCTGCACCAACATGTGAAAGAATTTCTTCATGGTGAGGGTGATGGAGCACTGGAACAGGCTGCCCAGGGAGGTTATGGAGTCTCCTTCTCTGGAGATATTTAAGGCCTGTCTGGATGCCTACCTGGGCAGCCTGCTCTAAGGAACCTGCTTTGACAGGGGGGTTGGACCTGATGATCTTTTGAGGTCCCTTCCAACACCTTCTATTTTGTGATTCTGTGATTCTACTGTAGGGACCTGGAGTTTTGGTAGTAAAAGTCTTCAGGGCCACCTGTAGTGGGCAGCAGGCAGGGAAAGAAGATTCCAGGAGACTCTTCCAGACGTGAACTGCATGTATGTAACAGACTTACCTCCTTAATCTGTGGTTGCTACCGTTCCTGTGTTTCCAAAGCACTCAGCCCTCATATCCCTTAGTTCTCAGTATTTTAAAACAATCTACTTTCTTGTATCTTGCATCCCTGTGGATCTTCTTGAGCCTAGTAGGGTAGCTGAATTCACACTAATGCCTTTTCTACAACAAGGCAACCAGGACACTAATTTTCTTTTGTTTACTCAGCCTTTTTTTTTTTTTTTTTTTTTTTTTTGAGGCTTCCAGAACTTTATATCATTGAGAACTATGCTTCCTCCCACAACCTAATTAAATTTTCTTAGTTGTCTACCAGTTTCAAAAGTTATTCAGGATACTGATAGGTAGTACAATTGCCTCACTCTTGTCTCTTTCGGGAGTTTTGCTAAAAATATAGGTGGCATTATACCAACTCTTCTACCTCAGTCTCTCTCAGGTTATTTACTGACAGTATACCATCAAATGGATAACGTTATATACATTATTCTGATATTCACGCTGGGTTTGAATTCTTGAAAATCAGTTTGAAAACATTCACCCCAAAGAATTCACCCCAAATAATTGTTGAAAATCATAAAAAGGGGGACTATTATGCTACCAACTAACAAACATAGATGATAGATGATTCATGTTCTAATAACAGCAGAAGACACAAAAAAAAAAAAAAAAAAAGGACAACACCCACTGCATCAGCTCTTCTCCATTAAGATATTTATTGGTATATTACTTTGTTTTGCTAAGCAATCATTTAAGGTGCAGGTGCTTTTAATTCACGGTGTTCTGTTGCTCTTGGGTAGCAAGCTATCTATTGGAAACTGTGATTTGTAGAACTGGTTTGGAATCCAATAATCATTTCTAAAAAGGGGGAAAAAACAGTGACAAAGTGATAGAACATAGTAACTATGACATTTGTATTAGTCAATATTTAAGTGAAACAGTATTCTTATGGCTCACCAAGAACATGATTTCACTGTGTCTCAATTATGATTGTAACATAAACTCATTATAATAAAGAAGAAATCAAATCACATGTGATGTGCAGAAGCTTTAAGTGTGGAAGCTATAAGCCAGTTTCCACTGGCTTCATCTGGAAGAGTGAATTCTCAACAAGTCTGATGTTATCGGGAGCCAAAGTAAAATTATTTTTGTTTTTTAAAAAGAGCTTTTAGTATACAGGAGGAAACATATCTGAATATGTATGCATCATGTATAATCATCATGATATTTACTATTCTGACTGAAAAGGACATGTTGTTGATATATTTATTGAAGGAAGAAAATTAAGGCTGCTCATGAGATTTTAAAACAAGACCGATTGCACTGGATCAACCAAAGGCTAACTTTGTTATCCTGTTTCTAACAATAGAAAAATAGCACAGACCTGGAGTATGCCCAACAGTAGGGAAGCACATAGAAATACTTCCCCAGAACACTCTCCCGTCCCAGCAAAATTGATACTTCAGAGACTACATAAATGAAGGTCATTTCTATATGTTTGAGAAACTTCTATTAGTTTTTCGAAAGGTTTCTAAAATGTGTATTTCCTTTTGGTATGTCCACTGTGTAGAAGACCAGTCTACAATTTGTTTATAACCTGCCACTTGCCAGTTTTATCTAATGTCTCCTACTTCTTACACTTCAGTCTCACATTACCCTGGATTTTACATCTCTCTGTCGTATTCTCTCAGTTTTTGCTCTTCCAGCTGTGACATAACTTGTGAGATGAGTAGCTTTGATAGCATGGAGATGAGTTGCTGTAGGAAGCACTTCATAATTGTCTGATTTAGGACTAGATAGCCCACAAGTGATATCATGTTCTGCTGGCTATTCTTTCTTCACAGTGCTTCACAAGTAGATTAGTGGACCTAGCTGAACTCTGTTGAAGGTGAAAGAGCTGGCTTGCAAGAAAAGGTCTGTTACGTATCTTTGGCTCAGGTATAACTCATGTTGCAAGACCATCAAGGTGTTTCAAAGGTGAAATTTGGAAAATCCTTTCCCTATTTTGTGACCTCTTTTCTTGTGGCCATGAAGAAAAGAGGGAATTTATAGTAACATATTAAGCATAAAACACAAACACTTCCTCCTGGGCCTGTAAACACTTATTGTCATTTCCAGGCAGCATGAAATCTTCTTCAGAGCAGATGAAGAAAGTTGAGATAGACCTTTCCATTCTATGGACCAGAGCATACACCCTCAAAATCCTGCTTACATGTTTTGATTTTCTTTGCAGTATTGTATTAGAAACAATACTCACAAAACTGTGTTGCTAAACATTCTCTTAAACTAACTTTTTCCATGTGAAAAGTTTCAACATTACTGTAAGAGTTACTGTTGGATTTAAGCATACTACTTATCAAGTAAGAGAATTCAGACTCCCAAACTGTCTTTTTATATCATGTGCGGAAAATATATCTTTTCTCTTTGAAAGACATACATCTTCTAAAGTCTAACTGGAGGTGAAATCTGGATTTCAAGAGCTGGATTTTTAGTCTGTTCTTCTCCAGAACTCTCATACTTCTGTGATATAATGTTTCTCTTCAAGACATTCAAAGACAAATCTAACTATTCAGCAACTGGAGCTACAAAGTGTCTGTTTTTAAAAGTTCTACCATCACAGGTTGAAATGAAACACGCAAATAAGTTTGCGCATTCACTGAAATATCTCAAATATTGGCTGACCACTCAAAACAGCAGTAACAGAGTAACAGTACTTAAGAGATGCTGCTTACCTGATTTGGAACATTTTCTTCTCAACAGGGACGTTTTTCAATGGCTTCTCCTTGGCATGGTCTGCCTCCATCTTGTGGTGTAGGATTATTACACTGGCGAGTTCGAGTGCTTTCACCATTGATGCAGGTGGACCAGGTACTCCAACAGCTCCAGCCTCCATCAGTGACAACTGGTATTAAGACATCATACTAGGATTAGTCCAATATTTTTCTGTCTGCTGTGCAGTGACAGAAAGATCATTAATTAGAGATTTTTACCTAGCACTTCTGAGGATTGACAAGGTGGTCCATGAATTAATTCCGATTTTTGCAGTTATGGTGACTCTGAAGATCATTCCACCCTCTAGCATATATCCCAGCTACACAGATTTGGCTTTTGAAAATGCCCTTGTCAGTAGCACTGTTCAAGGGTCCAGATGTTTCAGCATTTCTGTCACCCCAGGAAACTGCATGAATATCAAGTTCTAAGGTATCTGTACTTCAAAGTCATAGAATCATAGAATCATAGAATATCCGGAGTTGGAAGGGACCCTTAAGGATCATCAAGTCCAACTCTTGACACCGCACAGGTCTACCCAAGTTCAGACCATGTGACTAAGTGCACAGTCCAATCTCTTCTTAAATTCAGACAGGCTTGGTGCAGTGACCACTTCCCTGGGGAGCCTGTTCCAGTGTGCAACCACTCTCTCTGTGAAGAACCCCCTCCTGATGTCAAGCCTAAACTTCCCCTGCCTCAGCTTAACCCCGTTCCCGCGGGTCCTGTCGCTGGTGTTAATGGAGAAAAGGTCTCCTGCCTCTCGACACCCCCTTATGAGGAAGTTGTAGACTGCGATGAGGTCTCCCCTCAGCCTCCTCTTCTCCAGGCTGAACAGGCCCAGTGCCCTCAGCCGTTCCTCGTACGTCTTCTCCTCCAGGCCTTTCACCATCTTCGTAGCCCTCCTCTGGACACTCTCCAACAGTTTCATGTCCTTTTTATACTGTGGTACCCAGAACTGCACACAGTACTCGAGGTGAGGCCGCACCAGCGCAGAGTAGAGCGGGACAATCACCTCCCTCGACCTACTAGCGATGCCGTGCTTGATGCACCCCAGGATACGGTTGGCCCTCCTGGCTGCCAGGGCACACTGCCGGCTCATATTGAACTTGCTGTCTACCACGACCCCCAGATCCCTCTCTTCTAGGCTGCTCTCCAGCGTCTCATCGCCCAGTCTGTACGTGCAGCCAGGGTTTCCCCGTCCCAGGTGCAGGACCCAGCACTTGCTCTTATTGAACTTCATGCGGTTGGCGATCGCCCAGCTCTCCAACCTATCCAGATCCCTCTGCAAGGCCTTTCCACCCTCATTCGAGTCCACAACTCCTCCAAGTTTGGTGTCATCAGCAAACTTGCTCAAAATGCCTTCTATTCCTACATCCAGATCGTTTATAAAAATATTGAAAAGTACCGGCCCTAAAATGGAGCCTTGAGGGACCCCACTAGTGACCGCCCGCCAGCCTGACGCAGCCCCATTTACCATAACCCTTTGGGCCCTGCCCGTTAGCCAATTGGTCACCCATCGTATGATGTCTTTATTTAGCTCCACTACAGGTACTGAATTTACTGCACATTATTTATTATTATTATTATTATTATTATTATTATTATTATTATTATTATTATTATTATTTTATTTTATTTTATTTTATTATTTTATTATTATTTTATTATTTTATTATTAATTATTATTATTATTGTATTTATTTATTTATTTTTCCCCATGTATACAACTGCATTTAGATCCGTCTTCCCCTTTGTGGACCAATCTAATATTAATCTAGCACAGTAAGTATGAAATGTGGTCATGTGCTAGCAACAATAGTGCTTTTGCAGGAAACTGAAGACAAAACAGCTTATGACATGTTGAGATTGCTTTTGTCTGAGATCAACTTACAGCCTTGGTCCTTACCATCATACCACCATCCTCCTACTTACTTAAATGTATTTGGATTGTCATTTCAAGATGCAATGATATATGTATTTGGATTGTGATTTCAAGATATAATGATATATAGGGACAAAGACTTCTATCTTAGAGTGCTTTTATCATCAAAAGAAACCAGTAACTTCTACTAAGATCCGCACTCTATACCCATGCGATTTGACTGGAGTAGGAATAAGGGAGTGCTATGACATCCTTATGTCCTTGTGAAGGCTCATTTTCCCTGGATATTGTTCTAAAAACTATGCTTGTTTTAGTCTGCTTGGAGAATTTACTAACCTTCAACTCTTGTAGATTTGGGAATCTGACAAGCAATTCCCTTAAAGTAGCTTGAGCACATGCATGTACAAGCTCCATCTATCAGTACAAGGGTGCCTCCATTTTTACAGGGTTCACATTTGCACACACTATATTCAGTAATGTAGTCCTCAATTGCTCTTTCCAAATTTTGTTTCTTTAAATATGAATTTCTTATCTTAACTGGAACAAGTGTATGTATTGGAGAAGGCTGTGGAAGAAAAAAAAAAAAAGTACATCTTTAACAGACTTTTCTGTAGTTCTGAATACTTTTGATACCAATAAAGGATACCATCCTTTAGTGCTGATATACACATTGCTAGAATAAGTATCTGAAGAAACTGTCAAAATGAAGAAAGTATCTGGTAGTTCATGAAACTTAGAGACTCACCTCCATTTTACAACAGAAGTTTTCAGATTCTAAGAGGCACAGATTCGAAGAGAACTTACCCGTTCCTGTATCACAACTGGTGCATCAACCAAGGACTTAGCCCACTCTATGTAATCTTCTACGTCAACCATTTTGGATCTTCGCAGTAACATTTCTTTTATTTTAACTGAAAAATCAACCTTCCCTCCATCAACTAAGGAAATAACATCATCAATGATAGCATCGTCTTTATATTCTGCTGCAGAAAGAAAGAAGATGAAGAAGAAAGTTTAATGTCTATACTTCCTGATGAATGGTTGTCCTTCTAGCACAACCAGTCCACCTTTGTAACATGATAATTGAGAGAGGAACCCTTCACCCACTAATCATGGTGGAATTCCATATTTCTTTGCTCATACCAAATTTGTAGGATGAAATCTTCTATTTTGCAATTAAATTAGGAAACCCAATATCTGAAAGGAAAGGAAGGCATAGAGCAAAATGAGAGACATTATGGAGGTCATAACCAGATATTGGGTTTCCTAATTTAATTGCAAATGGCTTGTCTGCATGTGTGTGCGTGTGTCTCCATTTGAAGCAATTGGAGATGAGGATTCAAGGGACAATTGCTGGGTAGACTAAACATTTAAGGCCAATTACTGGAGTCACCCATAGTGTGTGTGGCATGTCTGTGTGCTGATATGCATCGTTGGTCTGCTGATCCCTACCAGTAATGTAAGTGGACCTGTGGGCCTTGGAGGATTGTATATCCAGGTGCCAAAAATAGGGTGAACAAAGCAGATAGGGAACATTTACTGCATCATTTAAATGTCTAAGGTCAGCTGCTGGAGGTACCTATATAGTCTATAAATATATATATATATATATATAGAGAGAGAGAGAGAGAGAGAGAGAGAGAGAGAGAGAGAGAGGAGGGGCTGATAGACCTGAAGGTTGTGCTGCTGTGTATATGTACAAGTTCCATAAAGGGAAGTGCAGAATCCTGCACCTGGGCAGGAACAACCCCATCCACCTATATGTGCTGGGGGCCAACTGCTTGGAAAAAAGTTTTACAGAAAAGGCGCTGGGGATCCTGGTAGACACCAAGTTGAACATGAGCAAACAGTGTGCCCTTGTGGCAAACAAGACTAGTGGTATCCTGCACCACATAAGGAAGAGCTTTGCCAGCAGGTTGCAGGAAGTGAACTTTGCCCTCTCTTCAGGTGCCTTTAAGTTCACCTCCAGAGTAGTTTCCAATTCTGGGCTCAGCGGTACAAGAGAGAGGTGGAACCACTGGAGTCCAATGAAGTGCCACAGACATGAAGCATCTCTATTATGAGGAAAGACTGAGAGAGTTGGAACTGTTCAGTCTGGAGAAGAGAAGGCTCAGGGGGATCTCATCACGGTGTACTAGTATCTGAAGGGAGTCTGTAAAAAAAGTGGTACCAGGCTCTTGGTAGTGGTACCCAGTGACAGGGCAAGAGGCAAAGGACACAAACTGAAACACAGAAGGTTCCTTGTGTGCATGTGGAAACACTTTTTTTCCTGTGAAGGCGACTGAGCAAAGGATGCCCAGAGAGGTGGTAGAGTGCCCAGAGAGTCATGGAGGTCTTCATATCCCATCTAGACATGGTCCTGGGTAACCTGTTCTAGGTGGCCCTGCTTGAGCAGGGGGTTTCACACCAGGTGACCTCCAGAGGTCCTTTACAACCTCAACCCCTCTGTGATTCTGTGATATTTCCATTGGCTGACCTCTGTACTGATCCAATAGTGAGGGGAACAGGATGAAGCCATTGGTGATGTTTGTGTTTGTATGAGTGCTGTGTTTCTATTTATATTGATTAGTTTGGCCATGCATATATCTATGGATGTGTTGTATATGTTGTACATGTGTGTACTGGGAACACATGCTCAGCCTAGCTTGGGAGTGTGGAATTATGGCAGCTTTATCTTTACTGGGGTACATGATCTGTCATTTCCCTAATAAATAGCAGCAACTATGTTGATTTTTGTAAGGAGAAAAAATTGTTATTGCCTTTCCTTAAGCAAAAGACAATGTAAAATAAGGATATACTTACATTTATCCTGAATTTTGATCTTTTTGCATATATCACCAGACATTTCAAGACTGCCCTTAATCTTGTCATATTCAACACTGACATCAAATTGATAGCCAAGACATTTCTTCACATCTTCTACACTGATATCTGGAAGCAAAAATAATTAGGTGATTATTAAAGGATAGAGTGACCAACAGCACAATGCTGCTCCATGGGAGGTTCAGACTGGACATTAGAAAAAAAATTATTTGCCATGGGGGTGGTCAAACACTGGAAGAGGCTTCCTAGCAAGGTGCCCCATGCCTGTCAGTTTTCAAGAGGCATTTGAATAATGCCCTTCATAATATGCTTTGACTTCTGTTTAGCCCTGAGGTAATGAGGCAGTTGGACTTGATTTTTGGTGGTCCCTTCCAACTAACTTTTCTGTTCTGTTCTGTTCTGTTCTTTTCTGTTCAAGGAGTGTGATTATATTATTGGAGGATAAGTTTCAGTGCTACTGGTGCTGTTGGAAATGTTTATGCTTTCTTCCTCCTATTTGTATTCTGCTTTCTCCTCTTCCATGCAATGAATACGAGGATGACTACATTTGAAGTGTCTGCACAATTTCTAGAAAGTACTTGAATTTATTCCTTATTTTATGCCATCACCAACTCTTAGAGTTCCAGATGAATACACTGATGAGCAAACCAGATTTAAGGTTTTGACAGATTTCCTAAGCACTGGGGACCTCTTGTGAATCATATAACACCAATTACTGTGATATTTTGAAGAGGTTTGTTTAATATTTTGTTGTCTAAGTTGTAGACTCAGAAAGCAGATTTCAAATAAGTTACAGAGACTCTCATCTCTGTTGAACTTGGATAATTTGAAGTGCCACCGGTGTGCCACAAGCTGAACACATTGAATTGTGCTGTTCTTAGTAGTGTTATATATACACAAGTCTATCCTCATCCATCTCTGCATGACTGGAAACTTGGTGCCAATCTGCATCTTCTAGCTAGACCAACAAAACACATACCTAAGCGAGACATAGCATGATTATCCAGAACATACACAAGTTCATATTTTCCTCCCACAGCTCCAGAGGCTGCATAGTGAGTTCCATAATCTTCTAGGAATTTGAAATATTCCCCCTTATCGTATTCAGCAGGCAGAAAATTTAGATCGTCAAGGAAAGTATCTGTGAGACGGATATCACGACTCCGCATTTGGAATCTTCCCAGCTGAATCTTTCCTTTTACATGTAGAAAGGTTTGGTTCTGAATACAGGGAGAAGAAAACAGATGAGAGAACCATTCTGGTATGAAATACAGCAGGAAAATATGTTTTATTTTACTTATAAAGAAACTGCAGCCCTTTTAAACATGGTATTCAGTCTAGCATTTTGGACACGAACTTGTTAAATTGAAACAAAACTTCTCCAATCTAAACTGAGGAAGAGGCAAGAAATTTAGACTTCTTCATTTCTTGCATTTTTGCAGAAGTCTCCCTTTGTTAATTGCAGCAAGCCCTTTATGATCCATTTGATGACAAGTTCTTCTCTTTAGGTACAATATCTAAAGATTCTGACTTTTATAACAGAAAAATAATTCCACATGGCTTGCCAGATAACAGAAGCTGTTCCTGCATGCCTATTGAGGTCAGATGGAGTTTAGTCTTTGTTTATAGTTAAAGCAGAACTACGCTCTCTCTTATTGTGGATCACTTCTCTGTTATTCTCAGACTGTCAGCATGAAAGGCTCCAATAAAAAAAAAAAATAAATCCACCCTTGCATCTTAAAATGAAAATTTATCAAGAAAAAAATCCTTTCAAGGCATGTGAGCCATACATACATTTTAACTGTAGTATTTACTAACCCATATACTCATACATTACACTCTATATTTTTATATCATAGTCTAAACTAGGACCTAGCAGCTGCCTGTACCACATGACATCTTGTGAAATAGTTGCAGTAAAGCTGACTCTAAGTAAATATATGCCTTCCAAACCCCATTATTTTCTGTAGTACTTCTGTGACCTTCTTAACAGCAGTGCCTAGTAGGAGGTATATAAAAGGAATTTAACAGCTGACCATTTAAAAGATGTTAAAATGCTGACTCAAAGGCTTTTAGAAGTGACAAAATTCTTCAGGCATCTACATTTCCATGAAGAAATTTTTGTAGGTACAAATATTTCTGCCATTCAGCAAAAATCCCTTACTTTCTTGTTGTCTCTGGGCTCTTCCTACTTTTATGCTAACACTGTATACATTTTACTATTTATAAAATGATTACATTAAATACTCAAGCGTGATTAAACTTACCCTTTCTGTGAATCTAGTCAACATAGATCCTAAATTTTTACCCTTGCTATAGTAAAACTTCAAGTTTCCTCCTGCAGTTTTGTTACTTTCTGAAGTAGGCATATATTTCAGAGACAGGCCAATGTTGAAGCTTTTTTGTTTGTCCATGTACACCTCTCGTATCATTTTTAGATGATCACGATAGAACTCAGATGTGAAGGTTTTGCCTGCTTTTGTCTTAGAAAAGAAGATGAAAAAGTTATATGAGAAGCCAGAACAGACAGTAACAGGAAAATCTATGTAGCACTTTGAATTTGCACATTTTACTTATCAAGAACAACAAAAACAACAACAAAAAATTATAAAAACACAGGCACTTATGTGAATAGAGCAGAGAACCATTAGGGCTGGGAAGCAGCTACCTGTCTACTTCATATAGTATCCAAATTGACTTTGAACGTAAAGAGTAATTAAAAGAGAAGATATTTTATCTGAATAGAAAATAATTCCAAAGAATGTATTAGTAAAGGCTTCATGACATTCAGGAATAGAAAAATATGTTTTGACAGAAAAAAAAAAATCTAACATCTAACCCTTTACTACTTTTTTTTTTTTTTCTCCTTGAAAATTTTCAATTTTCCTTGGAAATACACATTTAAATCTCTAAATAATTTGACTCAGCTAGAGAATGGGATTCAGTAAAAAACAGTAATTTGATTTATCTTGATTCTCTCAGAACCTCATGAGAGTTTTTATGCAGTTTCCTTGTATATTCAGCCTCTCCTGAGACCCAGGCTCCCAAGCCTGTCCGTATCTTTTTATCTCCATTTGTGGTCAGAAACTGCTACGGAAAAAAGCCCTCATTAAGTGGAGAGATGATGCTGTCCAAGAGCAGATGTGATGTAAGTAACAAGTCTCATCTTTAGAAGAAAACAGGAACACAATGCTTTAATGGCAGTGTATATTTTAATTTAATTTTATTTTTTTTCCCCCACAAATTAAATATATATATATATATATACACTAACACATAACAGAATTGCATTGAAAGTTTTTTGTTTGTTTGTTTTGTTTTGTTTTGTTTTGTTTTCACAACAGGAGAGAGAAACTTGTCACTGATTAAGAAACTTAGAGAGCATCAGAGTATCAAAATGTTCTGCCTTCCTTTTCATCACAGTCTTTTGTGTGTCCCTGAAAAAGTTTTGATTGCTGCTCTATCCAGTAAAATTAGGTATAGTATTCAGTTTTTTACATCTCCTATGTATATCATCCAACCATATGGTAAACATTCCAGAGACACTTTCATTTACTATACACAGGTGCAACAATAAACGTGTGGGAAATTATCTGCAGCAACTGAGTTTAATTGCTAAGGCATATGATAACATAACCAGTTTCCCTCCAGACTTTGCTGGCAGTATGAGGCTTAAAAGCTGCTGCTAACTTATTTAAAGAGGTTTCAAGCCTTCTGAAAGGAAGTCAAGATTCAGCATTCATTTAAAACATTCTAACTTGCATAGAAGAACTTAGACTTACGTCATAATTGAGAACACCAACATTCCACGGCTTGCGGTAATATGTCTGTGTGTTCCCATCACGCACCCTTTCACAAAGACCATTGAAAAACTCATTGTCAAATGGGCTGGCCATTGGCTGCATCCCTAAAACATTGATTCTGCAATAGAAATACAGGACAGGTTATGCTTCAAAAAAGAAGGTGTCAGCACATGTAGTTTGGAAGCAATGGTGTTATGAATGGAAAAGCCTAATTTTTGTAAGAGATGGATAGGGGTAAGGGACCTGCTCCACCATGGCAGTTTGTCTCATCTGTTGTTTTCTTAATTTTTCATTTGTGTAATGGATAAAATACTACATATGTGTAAAGCACTTTATTTTAAAGGTCATATATTAGAAAGAAACAGACAAATAAAAGACAGATAATGCAGTAAGAACCTTAGGAATGGAAGGAAAGAATAAACATTTCTTCTTGAACAACATGTTTGTGAGGAACTATTAAATTATAGTATAGATTATAGTATATATATATAGATTTTTTTTTTTCCCCTGCATAACTCATTATTATTTTGTTTGCTGTTAGGAACTTTGGTATCAAGAATGCACAAGATTCACGTAGAAGGAATATACAACTGCTCCTAGCTTTGTCTCTTCTCCCAGGGAGTGACTTAGAGGAGTAACAGAACTCCCTGGAGAGCAAATCTGAACCACTGCATACCCTGAAAAGAGAGCACATTGACTATGTAGTTCTACACATCTATCTACCAGTGTACAAGAATTACTTCTGAAAACAGCTGCTCATTTGGGGATTCTATATTGTTTATTGGCTTTCTAACTCCTTCACAGATTCGATTCTTTCCAGGAAGCACAGTGTTTATGTCTGATACATGTACCTAACTAACTGCAGAAAATGGTTATCAGTTCATCTAAATTGCCAGCAGTGGGTACCGCAGATGTGCATCTATACATTTCTCAAGGAAGACATCAGAAATGGTTTTTAAAAGAAATACTAAAGTAGCTTCTTCTTCTTCTAAAATAATAATAATAATAAGCCCATCTGTCTTAGTTCCCCGTACTACAAAGGCAGAGATTTTGCTCTTGAGCAGTCATGCTGTTGCAAGATGAAACGCAGGATGCACCCTTTTCATTTAAACACAAGGTGGTGCTGTAGTATACTTTTATTTTCGTCTTCTGTTCCTGTTTGGATAGCTGTCTTTTGACTCAATTTGTCACACAGTATGCCACACCTTCTTTCTGTTTGAAATTAAATATATACAGTATGGTCTGAGAAAAGAAAGATAAATTTTCGACTTAGATTAATGAGGAAAACTATAAATGAATCAAGATCTGGGGAAGTGAAGAACAATAATGAAAAAACCCCACCCTACAGGCAGAGTGTTGTTGCAGTAAGGCAGCCTGTAGTATAAAATAATCAAGGGAACTTTTCTCCCTTTTAGATTCTCATGTTAGTAAAGTAATGGGGAATGACTGATTCCTTATTAATTATCACTTGAAAAGATATGTGTATATATATATATAAAAGATATATATATATATTAATATAAAATATGCCTATATATATTATGCTTAAATAATGTGTTTTAAAAATACTAATGTAATATCTATGTATGAGTCTGCATATTAGCATAATGATTGATAAACTTAGTATTCACTGTCTGGATAAATATTTATCCTCCCCAAGTACACAATATCAAAAGTAGTCAGGTGTTTTTTCTGAAAGTTATGTTGCATTTCCGAATACAAATGAAAACATGATCCCTCTTTTGGGAATGCCAGTGTCCCAGCATTTTCAGTTGGCTTTGGAGACAATCCTAGACTCTTCACAATGTCAAATACATTTTTTTTTTATTTTTTCCTTCATTACATACCCTTGCCCTGCTGTCCTGCCAACTTCAGACACATCAATATCATGGTTACGGCATGGTGATCGTGGTTCAGATTCACAGTTATCTTCATCAGAAAAATCTCCACAGTCGTTATCCACGTTACACACAAGCCGTCGCTTTATGCATCGACCTAATTAAAAAAAAAAAAAAGTTATTGAATGAATCCAATTCTTTCCAAGATGGACATTAAGTAACACCCCTACCTATTCTTCATTGAGGTTTTTCTTTTTGTATAGTTTCACCAGTTTCACAAAGAATTTTCCTTTTTCCTCCTCAGAATGAAAAAAAAACAAACTAAAAAACAAATAAATAGAAAACCCCACCATAGTATTAAATCCACTTATTAATTTACTGAGATGGAGAACTGCTGTCATTTGCAGAACGTTATCATTTCTTGTGGTTATTTCTATATTAATTTTTCATTATTAGATTTTTTTAATGTATTAGGAGAATACAAGAAGACATTACTCCAATATCAGCAAAGAAATATTTTTTAATTATTTAAATTGTTACTATTTGGAAAACATGAAATATAATGATTGATATTCTAATGCAACAGTGAAAAACTGATTCTGCTGATGTCAGGTATCGCAGTTTATACACAGATTAATTTTTTTTTTCCTATAGAATTTAAAGATTTGAATAAATTTAGCCCTAAGATAATAATAATAATAAAACAGTTTGTTAATATGAACTGTTTCACCTGTAAGTGTCACACAATGGCTTTGAACTAATAATTAAATACATGCTTTTTAATTTTTCTTTCTCTACTTGGACTTTACAGAAAGATACAATACTGACAATAGCTTGGAACTCAAAATTCACCTAGCATCTTTCCTTTCCTGTTTTGATTAGTTTTAATTAACTTATTCTGTTTTCATTTATGATGAACCTTGAATTCATCTAATTCATATGCCATGCCTGTATTACTTTATAAATTAAGATCTGTGAATCTAGAGACTTGTTGGTCCCAGTTGGCATGTACCATATGACATTAGTCATTAAGCCTCCCTATCCATTTTGCTAGAATTCCTTCTAGCTTTATCCCAGTGATTTTTCATAAAACAGGATTCTATACCAGGTGGAACAGGAATGCTAGAAGAAAGAACAGTCTGTGGATAGCTTTTAAACATGGAGTGAAAAACAAGGGAAAATAATTTAGATCCGAGGCATATTATTTTGACAGATCGAAGGAATGTACCCCTTTCTCAAGCATTTTTTATGTTATGCTTTTGATCTCATGGCTTTGCAACCCACTTATCTACACATTCAGGACTGTCTTTAACCCTTAGCAATAATGTTCTGCTTCAGGAAATCATCCCCAAATAGAAAAGCATTGAAGCATACACCCTGTTTTGTGTATGCATTTTGACTTCAGTGCAGACTTATTTAACTTCTTCAAAGAACTGCGTGAGATGTGATTTGCTGAACTATCTCACAACTCATGATGGTATGGAAACAAAACCTACCAGAATTGCATTGAAAGTCAGCACCACAGTCTGGTTCTATTTCTTCAGGACAGACTTGGTCACTTTCACAGTTCTGTGTATCTCCTAAAGTCTCCACGCACGATTTTCCACCAAACTGGCCAAATCTTTCAATACTTCTAGAACGAAACTTAAAATATAAATAGCAGTTTTAATATTGTTTTAAGAGAAAAGAGAAGACATACCAGAACTGCAGAATTTCCACTGAACTTAGAACTTCTCAAAATGAGGCATCTTTGGTGAAAATATTGGTTGAAAAATCATAGACACAGCTTATGTTGTAAATTTATAGGAACATTGAATCAGTATCTTAGCAAATATATTTTTCACTCCCCCCCAGAAAAAAAAAAAAAAAAAATCCAAGGAGGAAATGTATCATACACATTTGATATTTTTATATTCTTTCAAGTCTTTCATTTTTTGGTAATATTATAAGAACTCTCCCAAGAAAGCAAAAATCTTAGTTTTTGCTAAAAAGATTGCTTCTTATTTTAAAAGGGAAAATCTATTAAAAAGTGATGCTCTTTACAGAAACAGAAACATTTACGTGGCCATAAAAGATTTTTTCTGTCAACAAAATTTATTCAATTACAGCTCTTGAATGGTTTTGTACATCTGGATGTAGTCTTACTTACTGTTATGGCTTCAGGTCTGAAATGATTATGGATTTAATCAAATCACAAACATTCAATATGAAGAGTTGCAATATGATATTTTCCCACAACCAAAAGACAGACAGATTTTTTTTTTTTTTTTTTTTTTTTTTTTTTTTGCCTTGTCACAAAGACTTCCAGCTTACAGCCTACAGCTTACCCTTTGGTTGGTGCATGGGTCACAGGGCCCCCACTCACTCCAGCTGGTCAGTTTACAGTCTATAGGGTATGGAGCATTCAGTTCTCTTGTCTCCCTGTGGAAAGCTTTTTCTGAAGAGCTGTCAAACAAAACATTCCAGGATAGTACACTAAAATAACGTTTGAATTTGCATTTAAACCATATACTGATATTTTGGAAGCACTTTCAAGTTGTTTTCTCCTTTACTTTTATAGCAGTTCTTGGTACAAAAAATGTATAAACCACTGCTTAACCTTAAGCTCTTTGCTGATTTAAAATTACGCTTTTAAAAATATCATTTACTCAGCCTGCTTTTTTCCCCCTTTTTTAGATCATTATGCATACTCATACTTCTGGTGGGTTGTGCTATTGAAGAGAATCATACAATAATAGACAGAATATCTGCAGTTCCCCTATTCAAACAGTGGATATACTCTGCATACTTAAAGCTAAATACAAAGGCACAGCAGCACATCTCAAATTGGTATAGTACTTCGTAAGTACAAAAAGAAGGACTAAGGAGAATCTCCATCCTTTACTGGTTGAGGGGAGAAACTTAGTTACAAGAGATAAGGAAAAGGCTGAGGTGCTTAATGCCTTCTTTGCCTCAGTCTTTAGTGGCAAGAGCAGTTGTTCTCTGGATACCCAACACCCTGAGCTGGTGGAAGGGGATGCACCAGGAAATGGTTGGTGACCTGCTACAGCGCTTGGATATATGCAAGTTGATGGGGCTGGATGGGATCCACCTGAGGGTACTGAGAGAACTCGTGGAGGAGCTGGCCAAGCTGCTTAACGTCATTTATCAACAGTCCTGACTATCAGCGGAGGTCCCAGTTGACTGGTTAGACCTGGGGAACTATAGGCCTGTCAGTTTGACCTCAGTGCCAGGGAAGCTCATGGAGCAGATTATCTTGAGGGTCATCACATGGCACTTGCAGGGCAATCAGGCGATCAGGCCCAGTCAGCATGGGTTTATGAAAGGCAGGTCCTGCTTGACGAACTTGATCTCCTTCTATGACAAAGTGACATGCTTAGAGGATGAGGGAAAGGCTGTAGATGTGGTCTATCTTGACTTCAGTAAGGCCTTTGTCACCATTCCTCACAGCGTTCTCCTCAAGAAATTGGCTGGACTGGCGTATGCTTCGTTGGGTTAAAAACAGGTTGGATAGCCAGGAGTTGTGGTGAATGGAGTCAAATCCAGCTGGAGGCCAGTCACTAGCGGCATTCCCCAGGGCTCAGTACTGGAGCCAGTCCTCTTTAATATCTTTATCGATGATCTGGATGAGGGGATCGAGTGCACCCTCAGTAAGTTTGCAGATGACACCAAGTTAGGTGCGTGTTGATCTGCTTGAGGGTAGGAAGGCTCTGCAGGAGGATCTGGATAGGCTGGACTGATGGGCGATCAACTGCATGAAGTTCAACAAGGCCAAGTGCCGGGTCCTGCACCTGGGGCAGAACAACCCCAAGCAGCGCTACAGGCTGGGAGATGAGTGGTTGGAGAGCTGCCAGGCAGAGAAGGACCTGAAAGTATTGGTGGATAGTTGGCTGAATAAGAGCCAGCAGTGTGCTCAGGTGGCCAAGAAGGCCAACAACATCCTGGCTTGTATAGGAAACAGTGTGGCCAGCAGGTCTAGGGAAGTGATTGTCCCCCTGTACTTGGCTTTGGTGAGGCTGCACCTCAAGTACTGTGTTCAGTTTTGGGCCCCTCGCTACAAGAAGGACATCGAGGTGCTTGAGCGAGTCCAGAGAAGGGCAATGAAGCTGGTGAGGGGTCTGGAGAACAAGTCCTACGAGGAGCGGCTGAGGGAGCTGGGGTTGTTCAGCCTGGAGAAGAGGAGGCTCAGGGGCGACCTTATCTCACTCTACAGGTAGCTTAAAGGAGGCTGTAGCGAGGGGGGGTTGGCCTGTTCTCCCATGTACCTGGTGACAGGAGGAGGGGGAATGGGCTGAAGTTGCACCAGGGGAGGTTTAGGTTGGATTTTAGGAAAAACTTCTTTACGTTTGGCATTGGAATGGGCTGCCCAGGGAAGTGGTGGAGTCATCATTCCTGGAGGTCTTTAAAAGACATTTAGATGTAGAGCTTAGTGATACGTTTTGGTGGAGGACTTGTTAATGTTAGGTCAGAGGCTGGACTGGGTAATCTTGGAGGTCTCGTCCGACCTAGACGATTCTGTAATTCTGTGAAATTGGTATAGTACTTCAATATATATTTCTAATTTCTCAACTTATTAACTGTGTGGGGTTGCCCTAAGCATAAATAAATGTTTAAATATTTTCCTGAGTTAAAAGAAGGCTCATAAATAAAAGTATTACTTGTTAACTGTCTAACTTACATAGTTGGAAAAAACAGACAAATGTTTAGCTATCTAAGTATTCTTTAGCTTGCTGAGTTGAATACTTTGCCAGTTAGATTTCAGCCAAAGGCTTTTATTTTCTGGAGTGACTCTTCATTTTAGTGCCCAGTTTTAAATACTAAAAAATTTCTGGCTTTCAGTAAGTGAAGGGCCGTCACTTGATAGAAACTGGGTTTCTTGAAAGTGCCTACAGCTAGACATTAAAAAACTGATGCCCTATAGAATGACCCTTCCGTTCTGAAAAACAAATCAGGTAGTTTACTGCTGACCTTAACCTCACAGGTAGTAGTGCTGAAAGCAAAAGAATGATGGGGTATCGATACCTAACTTTTACTCTCTATCATTTACACCAGTTTTGACATTTAAATGCTGAGTATTCATCCACTGCAAGGCAATTCTCTCTCTGCACCTCTCCACATTAATGCTGCTGCCTCTGTTCTACAGTGGGCCCCCTTTTTTTTGCAGGTCCCAGCTGGTTGGCAGATCTGCAGCTCCTGCAGTGTGATGTATGAGCTTTTGTTGCAGGTAGTGCATTGCCCTCCACTCTTTGACCTCCCTCCCTTATACAAATACATGAAGAAACCAAACAAATGTAACCTGATTCCTCAAAATTGAGAAATCTGTTGTTTGGACAAGGAAGATACATCAATCAGTTCAGCTTTGGAGTGCTATATATTGTATGTTCAGGTTACATACACAATAAACTGTTAGTGAGACACTAAGTAGACCTATGTTTTGTTCCAGTCATTGAGTCTTAAGTAGCTTGGTGGCCACTGGGTAGTTGTGCAACTCTTCATACATACACTCAGCTCACCCATACTAGCTCTGATGCCTCAAACTTTCCACTGTCACACACACCAGCAGTAAACAGGCGCTGCAGCTGCTGCTGGTAGTATTCATAACACACACTCCCACTGTCCTGCCTGTGAACCCTAAACAACTCTTTTCCCAGAAGCCTCTTAACCTTAACCCAAGGCCTGCAATATATGGACCCCAGACAGAGGATGTTGCTTTTAACAGGTGAGACTCTAAAAAAAGGAGACTAAAATTTACTGTAACTTCCTAAGTAGAAAATTGTACAGCAGGTTTTCAAAGCATTGTCTTTTACATATTTTTCAAAACTCTGCATGACAGTAACACCATCAGAGGAAAAAAACAAAAAATCAGTGTTCTAGCAAGTGGATAAGAATCGTCTTATTCTTCCCTATATCTATGAGTATGGCATTTATATGTACTTACTGATGTGAGACTATAAATCTCAGAGTAACACCACCTACACTAGTATTTTGGGAAAAGGTTGACAAGTTTTTCTTAAAAATAGAAGTTGGAGCCCACAGACACTAAACCTTAAATATACATTGGGACACCTAGTAGGATTTCTATAAGTACTTGGCTATCTTACTCCTAACAATAACCAAGCATTAAGGTATTATGGAATTTTATGTTGAAATGCATTTCTGAACATTTATTATATTAAAAATGCAGCCAAAACCCTTTGCAGAAGTTAAGAATGGTCTATGAAGAGTAATGTCTATGAGTAGAACCTAAAGAAGGGACCAGACTCAAGCTGTGAGAATCCTTAGATTCTACATTAAAGTTTCTTATAAAACATTATTTTGAGTCTGCAGTAAAAATAATAATAATAGTAATAACAACAACAAAACAAGCAGGAAATGCCAAGTTGAACTTTTCAGTGCAAACTGAAGTTTTGCCTTCAACTGCCTTTCTACAAACCAGAGGTGATGGTGGTCTTTGAGCTTTCAGCCAGCACAGGTGTTTAAATAAGCTCAACCTAGCAACTTCTGCAAGAATATTCATTCTGAGTGAGTACGTATGGAGTATTTATTGGTCCCTTCCAGATTTGGACACAAGTTTCACAGGATTTTGTTGCAAGTCCAGCTTTGAGGTTTTGGATCTAATTGACATTACAGCAGGAAAAAAAATCAGAAAAAAAAGCATTGCAAGTGAGTGTCATGAACTCTGAAATGTCAGCCCTATCTATATTGATCTGGAAATTCAAATGGACACCCATGGAAAAAGCATTTTATTGAGCAACATTGTTTAGAAAGACAGGAAGACTGAGTTTTTCCACTTCCATATTTTATTCTCAAAAAATGATGGAAGTGGATAAGTCTTATGAGGAACAGTTGAGGGAGCTGGGGTTGTTTAGCTTGGGGAAAAAAAGGGTCAGGAGACCTTACTGTACTTTGCAATTACCTTAACGGAGGTTGTAGTGAGGCAGGAATAGGGTTCTTCTCCCAAGTGATAAGATGAGGGGAGGTTGTAGTGAGGCAGGAATAGGGTTCTTCTCCCAAGTGATAAGATGAGGCGAAATGGCCTCAAGTTGCACCAGGGGAGGTTTAGGTTGGATATTAAGAGAAATTTCTTTACTGAAAGAATTGTATTGCATTGGAATAGGCTGCTCAGGGAAGTGGTTGAGTCACCATCCCTGGAGGCTTTCAAGAAATGTGTAGATTCAAAACTTAGCAGTAAGATTAGAGGTGGACTTGTCAGTACAAGGTTAAAGGTTGGACTAGATGATCTTAAGAGTTCTTTTCCAACCTGAATGATTCTACGATTAAACCCGGGGAGAAAGTGTTACAGAAAAGTCATGCTGAAACAGGAGATGTTGAGGCATGCAATTTAAATATCAAAGAAAAGAAAGCATTTCAGTTTCTAACAGTGTCACTGAAGGTGGTAAATCAGAGCAAGAATTTTAGAGACAAGTACAGAAACCAAAATACTTTCTGTGCTATCCATCACTGGGAAGGTCTGAGGAATGGAAGAATGATCTTTTGAAAGAAAAAGGCGTTTCACAATCAGTACACGAAAATTGCTTTCACCTGTCTTAGATTGCAAAATACTTTATTGGCAGCTTCAAGCCAACCAGCCTTGGTGATTTGTTGTTGATCCATACATAAAAACACAGAGCTAGTCAGTCCATCATTTAAAAAACTGATGACTTGAGAAAGAGGGTTGGTCTGATAGATAAAACAGACCAGCAAAGAAGTCATCTCTCCCTTGTAATTGAAGGCATGATAGCATTACATGACAATGAACTTAAACAGTTCCCCAGGGACATAGTCACAGCACCAAACCTGTCAGAGTTTAAGAAGCATTTGGACTGTGCTCTTAGTCAAATGGTCTGAGTTTTTGGGTAGACCTGTGTGGTGCCAGGAGCTGGACTTGATGATCCTTGGGATGTTCTATGATACAACAACTGCAGCTGCTAGTGCCATTGGCTACGTAGGTCTGGCCCACGTTGCCTGCTTCAGAAGTCTTATATTCTAGCTGGATTATTGATAAATGAATATATCAAAGCTATGCTCTAGTTAGATCTGGATGCCCAATTAACCATTACCAAAAACAAGGAAAGGGAGAAACATAAAGTCTTATGGTTTTGAAGGCTCTTTTTTCAAAGTCAGTTTGGCTATTTCAAGCGTCAATAGCAGTATCCAGCCTCAGGCCTAGACACTCATGCAAGAAGCAATTTTTTTTTTTTTTTTTTTTAATACAGCATTCATGCCGTCACAAAACACTTCACATACCACAATATAAGTCTTAATGCAGGCAGACCCTGATTCATTCTTAATGTGCATTGGCTATTAAGACTTACATTCTTATACCACTTAGTACTGTCTATTCTCATAAGTGAGATATAGACCAGTCAGAGCTGTTTCTGGTTGTGTAGTTATTCAGTTGTTTTTAAATGATGTTTTAGTAGAGACTGAGCCTGTAGTCCTCCTCCTTCTAGCGATGCATATACTGAAAACAAACGGCTATATTTCCAAATTAGAGATATACAGTCTAGGAGACTTGAGATACTAATGTAAGTACTATCAGTATAAAATTGTGCATCTTCAGAAATATAATGATTGAGATTGTATTCTATTTTCACACTCACCATGTAATGGAAAAAAGCTGCTTGAGCTCCACCCTCGCTATAAGAATATAAGAGTAAGAATATAGCTTCAACAGCTATCAGTGTAATTGATGGCAAAATAAGTGAAGTGAATAAACCATTTTGATTTACTTCTTGAAGAAAACAACAAAAAAAAAAACAACAAAAAAAACCCAACAACTTCAAGGAAAGAAGTTCCTGTGTTCACCAAATATATAAGCAAGCTGCCAGTGGAAATGTTTACATTGGTGGCTTATGCTATGTTGGAGAAAAAGAATAGCACAGGCAACTGTAGAAAACTGAGGACTCTTACCTTCTGCTTTCTCCCGAAAGTGAGGCAGACACCTCTAAACTGCATAATATGAATATTAGCTGCAGGATAACATGCATGCTTCTCATTTTGTGTCTGAGCAGGAAAGAAATCCTGAAACTGAATTTGCAAATTCTTTATTTGTTCTGTTTGTTATTTATTACCAAGAGGAGAGAAAAAAAAAAAAGGCAGCACTTACTGAAAAATGCCAGTTGCTAGCCAAAACTGACTTACGGTAAGTGCCCTAAAGTCCACTTTTCAGAAAGTCTGGCTTTTTCCTCTACTTTATACTATTTCCCAATCTCCATAGTTTCATGATGAAAGAGCATTTACTAGTATCTTTTAAATATAGGGAAGATGCTTTCTATTCAATTAAAATAAATTAACTGCTTAGTAACAGCAATCATAGTGACTTACATAAGGAACAAGTAGTTCCTAAAGCAGAGCTGTTTACAAGGGTAAATTCAGTTTCTAACATGTTTGGAATCCTCTTTTGTTGCATTTGAGGAAAAAAGGTCCTAACATTCCTCGCCCCCCCAATGCCAATATAAAAGAGCAACACAATTGGTTTTTTTTGATGTTTTGAAGTAGGCTTCTAGTTTTCACTCTGTCACCCAAACCTCAAACATGAGCTACTCTTTAGAAAGTAATTCTTATTCAGCAGTTTTTTATAATTCAGATTTAAGGCACTGTGTGGTGGACACAGTCACAAAACAGAAGTAACTCATACATAACCTATTTTTTTTATTTTTTTTAATTTTTTTTAGCAGATAAGCATTACTTAAGCATTTGGACTCTAAATAATCTAGTACAAGGATATTCTGCAATATCATGGATAATAAAAGCAAAATACTTTTCCTCCCTGTTCCCATTTTATTTTACTATTATTATTTTTAAGGTTAAATATGACTGGCTTTTTTTTTTTTTTTTTTTTAAACCCATGCTTGGTTTGGGATAATTTCTTCTCTAGGAAGAAATTTTATGCAGCATTGATCTAGCTTGATGAGTACAGTTGTGTTAGTTTGTTGAACATGAAAGCAAGACCATGACACAGACACTTGTTCTGTTTCATCATACCTGCTTCAGTTGATGTTAAATATACCACCAAGTTCATGGTTCTTTAAAACAGAAACTAAATCAAAGTAAATGGTCATTCAAACTTAACTAGCAGACCAGCAATCATCTTTGACCAGAGTGGAATAGGTTCTTCTAACTCAGTGATTATCCCAACAGCTATTGTCATGCTCCAGCTAGAACTGTTTAAATTAACTTGAACAGCAAATAGTCATTTAGATGCTTAGTTCAAACTACTCCGGTAAATATATCCTTTCTTTTAAGCAAGGAAGCAGAGAACTTTTATTTTAGATTAGATGGTATCTTCGAATACTAAATTATATGTTGCTATGCAGGAAAAAAAAAAAAAAGATTCGTATGACCTATATTTCAAGCTGGATACTAACTCCCTTCCAAAAGAGGAGTTTTCAAGCCTTTAATAATCCCAATCAACTGGTATTGGCAGAAGCAAGTAAGCACCTATTCTATTTTAGCCAGCCTGACTTTTTTTGCTAAATGTTACAGATCTACCTCCAGTACTAAAAGTGAATCTAAGACAGTAGCTTTCTGACAGATTTGTTCTTGTTAGCCATCTGCATTAATTGTAAAGTGAGCTAGACCTTTTTTCCTTTCCTATTTAGTTTTCCCTTCAGGAGTTTAGGCCACTTGCAAAGTAGTTGAAATAGACAAATTAAATTACTCTACATTCAGAAACTTAATTCATTCACATACACAGATTCCATGGTCCTAGAGAATCAAGCAAAAAAGCATCTTTATTAGCAGAAACAATTTACTAAGTCAGTTGAAAATTTTATGTTTTCTGTGTTGAACAGGCCTGAAGCTACAGAAAGACCTAAGACTCTGCTGTCAGACAGCCAGTGTAAGAACTGAACAGGAGACAAACGGTTCTTAGCAGGCTCTGAAATCCTAGAATCAACTGAGGCACAAGACTGAGTTCTAAGGACAGAATTAACAACCACACAGATATTAGTTTGCTATTAAGAGTTGCTTCTTTTTAATGTAACATCACTTGAGATACTACAATTACATAACAGTGTAACATCCATAAGTTTCTACATTTCCAGTTTGAGACAAATACTTAAGTTCATAGCTTTTTTGCATTACAGAAAGTGCAAGAGAGATTTATATACAAGACTAATTGCATGACTGGCTGAAGTGGATACTAAGGCTCTCTCCAAGTTGATTTTCTTAACTTTCCAGTTCAGCAAATGCTTAGACTTTTGATTTAACAATACTATTTCAAGTTTATGCTTCGTATTAACAGAAAAACCTCACATATCAGCATTCACCACTGGCCAAGAACATAGCTGTTACAGTTGGTCATAACTGACTGATTTAAAGGTCTGTTAGTAAAGAGGTTCTTTAGAAAAGGCACATTTAAGAGATGAAGGACTATGTCACATTAATAGCACAGAGCTGGTGCATCTGTTCACAAGGAATCTAGGCATGGATTGAAGCCAAGATTGTCTTTTTGCTTTCTGACATACTGGGAACATGTCATGCTACACCATGTATGAATTTAAACTGAGCAACACTGGGGACAATCACTGAGATATAAGCAAGAAACCTATCTGCTTGTTCCACTTGTCTGCCAAGCCCCATTAATTAAAAAAAAAAAAAAATCAAATAAATGAGCTAGTTGATTTCCCTCTCTGAAAAAGCCACGTTAGCACCGATACAACAGTTAGTGTCAATGACTAGCTCAGTGTTCTTCAAGAAGTGTTTCATCTTACCTGACACTACACTGTAGACCTCTAATACTCAGGACTCCAGCAATTCTGTTGCAGACCCCACAGTTCATTCCTTTATTACATTTCTGTAGCAGAATGCTACTTTTAGTTAAGTGGACAAGTATTCTATTTCTCCTCCACCCATACAATTTACATCTCTGTGGCTTAGACACCAAGTCATATGTCCAGTCACCAATTAGAAGTGAGTAGTATCCACTAACTTTACAACTGGCTGCTGTTGTGGTAACAAGCAAATGACCTAGTAGTTTAAAGTGTGGAGTTTAGCTACTAACTCAATTCCCTTATGTGAAGGCAGCACTTCTTCCCTAGGTACATTCAGTTCCTCTATTTCAGGACAGTGAGTGCTGCAGAAAAAGGAAGTAAGGTGACCATGTTTAAAAGACACGTGACTTAGCATCACTAAGCTCTTCTATGGAATATTGCAAGACTAAAGTAAAACTAACATCCACCAATTTGAGTTTGGGTCTCCAGGCTGAGTACAACTTTCCATTTGGTTTGCCCTGAATTACCATCTTCAGAGCATACTGTTGAGGGTTTTTTTCAATCCACCTGGACATGTTTTAGATTACAGACATCGTGGAATGGAAGACAGAAAAGTGAAACAAGTAGAAGAGTCATGTTGAGAAGAGCTCCAGTTATTCCATTTGTCCTTCCCTGGTTGTGCCTAGTATAATGAAAAGGGATTAAGGTTAGGATGGCTAGAAGTTAGAGTTTCACAGCTTAAACTAGCTTAGAACCACTAAGAAGAAAAAGCAATAAATAGCAAAACTTGTCTGTAGACAAGTAGACTGTATTTCATGGGATGACAAACTACTGTATTTATTCCCCTGCCATACATCTAACAGTTTGTGTTCTGTAGTTAATGGTAAAAGAACTTGAATTAATTTATAATGACAAAAGCTCATGACATCCCTTCTCTTGTTATTACTTTAATTCACCCAGAAAATGTGCCTTTAGTGTTTAGGAAATTGAACTGCATGGTGCACTGTCTGCTACCAAAGAGATATTCCACAGAACTTAGTCAGCACATACTTACTCATTAACTTTCCTCAAGGAAATGAAATCTACATCTCTTGTGGCTTTGAGATTTAAGTCCATAGAACAACAAAATCTTTATTGCTCAGAAAATGAAATTGGTTAGACTTAGGCAGACAACATGTACAAGTCTAAGTAGAGGTACTCTAGCAGAAGTGTACTTTAGGAACTGCTTGCAGGACTTCAGAAGAGCAATATAGTTAAGCCAGTGTAGTTGTTTACAGCCTGCTTTTTGCCAAAGGTTTCCTGAATCAGTTTCAGAGCATGAAGTAGGTTGTCTAATTAGTGGAAGACTTACCTAGTCTATGCAAAGGGGTTGCCAAAAGGATCACCAAATGGACCAGAAGGTTGTTTCTGAGATTCCTTCTATGAAAAGAAAAGTCATAGACTCAGTGGATTTTTCAAGGTTCACCAGGTTTATTCTGCTTGACTGTATCAGCTAATTTGGATTTCAAATGCTTTCCAGAAAGACAATACTGTGGAGCACCTGCTAAATACATATGAACAGTACTGCTTTAAGAAGAATAAAAAGAGGGGTCTAAAGCCAGTTAGTAGTTATACTAGTTGGAAGCAAGGTACATTTTGGAAAAGCCATGTGTACTTAACTCATTTGTAGTTGAGCCAACATAGTCACTTTGAGACCTGTTTTAGCCAAATCCTAGATGTCATAGGCCAGCATTCTGGATGTGACCTAGATTTTCCACCAAGGGCTTCAAGTTCTGTGTCCCAAATGGGGTGATGTGGGTAGGCCACTTCCTCCCCCAAGGGATACCAGCCATAGGAACCTCCCATTCAGTCCATACTAGCCTGCAGAGAGGTAAGCATACATGAAGTGGAAGACTTCTGCAGCTGCACTATTTACAGAACTTTGTAGAAGTTCCCCATATAGAGCTGAAGAAGTTTCCAGGAGGATTTATAGTTTGTAGCATTTGATACAGACCCAAGCCAAATGGAATTACACTTTGCTAGCCTCCTTGCAACAAGTGCCCTCAGTTAGATTAAATATTAGCCTCAGGTATGCAAGTTTTGTTCTATAGCCTCTAAAAGCTATAACTAAGCCAGTTCTCAAACACAGGGATCCCTGTTGGTAGGGTGGAGGGACATAGTGGAAAGTTTTAGTACTTACAGGTGAGGCATTGAAAAGGTCTGCTTTAGGTTGACTTTCAAACAGGCTATCAGCTGGCAGTGCACTTTGTCGGGGAACAGGCTTTGGTAATTCTAGGAAGAAGACACAAACTGCTATAATCAAACAAGTACTCATCTCTTTCAGTAAACCAATCTCATTCAGTTGCATATA